CACACACACTGCAGTGAGGAAGACTGGATTCCAAACTGCTTCTTTGTGCTCCTTAAGGATAGTGGCCACTACTGTATCAAAGACTTCACTATCACATGATTACCATGTTGGAAGAACAGTACTCTCTCTCTGACTGAATGGTTCTTGTTAATCTCAAATACAAACATATTGTGTATTTTCTCGGTCACCTATGCAAAATAACACTATATCCACACTGATTATCATCTCTCTCTCTCCTATTAAAAATTTAGAGTGGCTGAAAAATATTTTTCCCCACGTGACTTTTTTTTTTTTACATTGCACATATTTAAAATTTACATCTCAGACTCTATTCTTTAAGAAGTGCAGTCTGTACATGCAGGCTCCTATACTCTATCTATCCAATAAAACATTGGCTTTAAAAGACTCCGAGCACAGTATGGTCCTCTTTTACTCTGCAAATACAATAGTATCAAAAGGAGCAGTAACAACTCAGTGACAACAGCAGGTTGTCAACTGACATGATTCAAGTATATTTCAATTTGCTTAAGGTTCCATCTCAACTTCTAACATGAGGTATCCTTTGACACTGTCTAGCACAAACATGTTCTAAATAAAGACATTAAAATGTGTTTAATTATGTAATTGTGTAACTGCTGAAAAATTAATCAGTTACATGTGGTGGGAGGGGCAAAACAGCAGGCAGGGAGGGGGCAGGTTGCCCCCTGCACTGCTTCCTCTAATTAGTATGCGTGTGTAACCACGCACATTAACAGATGAGTCCAGGCTTATTGGTTAACTGTGTCAACAGTTACACTTTCACATGCCTAGTTCTAAACAGACACTGGTACATTTCCAAGGTAAACTGTGTGCAAATACTCTGAAAAATGCTACAAAAAAGTATTAGCTTTTGGAGATTCTCTGGCTTATTATTATTATTATTGTTTTTAAAAACTTATCAAAGAGGAAATATGAAGTTTGGCTGTCCCATGGATTTTTAACAAGTTCACATCCCTACTTCATCCAAGCCACAGCTATCCGCCAATGCTTCTGTTTCATTCCACTGCAGGCAGAGACAACCAACCTATTAAAAAAAAAAAAGCATACTCCCACTTGGTTAAATGAACTAGCAATACTGTGATTGACACACAATTACACCTGAAAAACCAGAGCACAGACTGAAATTCCCCAAGGCCAATTCATTTCTTTCTACCTAACACACATCAAACACAGGCCAACTAAAAACAACAACTGTCCAAATTCATCCTTTTCCAGTCACTGCCCCAATCTCCTTCACACACAGTTTGAAACTGATAGTCCACAACAGAACAGCTTTTGAACTGTAAGCCACTGAGTTACAAACTACAAAATATTCTTATCCCCTCATGAATGCAAGGCCACTACTTGGAAATATTGGTTCTGAAAGTACTACTAAGTGTTTAGGCCACAAGATATAAAATCTTAGATAATATTCCTATTTAAAATAATGGGTGATCATGTAGATGGATGGTAATTTTGCCCCCATTTTGTCACTTTGTACAGCTCCTCAAAAATGCTATAAAATAGCCTATTTATTCTACATCTTCCCTGAGGTTCTTCCTCCCACTGTAATCAGAGGGTATATTGTATATGTGCTGTGTAAAGTTTACAATTCTACATTTAAGAGGCATTCCACTTTCTATATGGTTACAACCAGAATCTAAATCACAAGAGTGCTTCCAACACATGTGAGAAGGCTGCAGGATTTCTGAGCAAATGGAAGATTACAGATGTTGGTAATTCCATGAAAGTGGGGAAGAAAGTAGAGGACTGAAGTGCAATGTGTACCACCACCACAATGCAATATACGACACTTCACCCTGATTTGTGACTCTACCTGATGACAAAATGGCTCTCTAGTTCTTCAAAAGAGCGTATGAATGATGTACAGGTAGAAATTGAAGCTTTTATTTTAAACTGTAAACTATCAAAGAAACTTGTCCTAATGTCCTCAATAAGCCATTAAAAAAATCCCACATACATACAAGAGGACAAGTCTAATTTAAAAGGACTTTTGAGAGAATTAACATCTTTCACACTGTACAAATTGTCTTGTACCACTTCCTCTTCAGGCTTCCCCCTCTTTGTTTTTACTACCACGTAATCAATATGGTACGTGGCTTTTTGTGTGGTTAAGCACTGTGTTGGAAGAAAGGATCAAAGTGACTGTTCCAAAAAAAATCTTGCTCCCCCCTTTTCATTTACGTGTATTTCATTTTTAATGAAACAACCAATTAAACACCCATTTGTTCGATCATTTCAAGCAAGCTTTAGATGCCAATTACTGAAAGTCTCAAGGCGGTAAAAAGATCAGATGAAAATAAGAACTGAACGTGAACACTCGCAGCAACTCACAACCGGTGCTCCCGTGCAGACCCTCTCCAGCCCACCCGGGCGCTCTGCGCTAATGATCCCTAGGGGATAACCCGGGGGACGCTGAAACGAGTCAGGATAAAGCTTTAGCTGCTGACAGGTAAGTAGCGGCGGCGCGGAGAAGCGGGGGTGCCCTCTGGGAAGCGCCGCCACTGAGTGC